CGAAAATCTTACGTAACCTTTTTTGTTATCATTTCACCTTTATGTCATCAACTAGCAACACTATACTTATAACCACCATCATTATTTTTTAACCACCTATTATTAAGGTTAAACCTTCCTCACGGATTAGTCTTAAAATATCATTTATTACAAATAAACAGATTGACAATAAATTTATTTAAAAGAGTCCTCTTCGCTGAATATCATGTCTTGATGTCACAGTGGGTATTACAAGGGATCCTCATCTGTGCTTATGCCGCCTGTAGTTGAAACGATGCTGCCTAGGTGAGTGAGATCACTCTCTTTAGATTTCTCCTGTTCATGGTGATTGGTGCTCGCTGTTGTTTGGTGGTTGGGTATCTTCTTCACCTCTGTCTTCTCTACGTTCACCTGAAGGGAGTCCCGTCTTCCTTCACTGCCTCTCCTCTTCTGTCGACTTGTTAGTTTTCGCCAGTAGATCTTCTAGCTTGTCCGACATCAGACATAAATTGTCATCGGCTAAATCCAAATCTTCTTCTGAGGTGATTTCATCGGTCCAACCGGCGTATATCTCTCTTCTCGATCCTCATAGTTTGTTGGATGGGCGAGTCTAGTCTACCACAATCAGGAATATGATGGATGATATTGGTCGGCAGCCTTGTCTTACTCCTGTCTTCACTTCAAAGGCATCACTGAGCTTTCCATTGTGAATCAGTTGGCTGGCGTGTAGCATGATCTCATCATATAGCTGTTGAATGAGGTTGATAAAGGTTTGTGACACTAAAAGCGTAGTGTTTAAGCAGCTGTCTGTCAAATTACTTTTCGGTCGAGGCTGTCGAAGGTTTTTTCCAAGTCGATGAAGTTGAGTTAATTGCAATTGTAAAGTGTGTTCTATGATGCTGCGTAGCGTTGCAGTTTGACCCGCAGATGATTTGTTATTCGTGAATCTAGCCAGCCAGCTAGGCAGCTAGGCAGCCTGTTCCGGTCATAATGCAGTTGAATGAGGAGCATTGTTCGGTCTCTCTAGGATGATACAGCTTAGTATTTTCGTTTGAATCAACAGGTGTTGATCTCTTATCTCGCAGATAGTAAACGTGATTATGTGATGTGATGTTGTCAGGTCTCTCCTATCTGCAGTCTGTTGTGCTTCACTTGCATGTATATCATAGAAGTGTCTTTTTTCTTTCCATGCACTTTTCTTTGCTTCTTTGTCGCCTGAAAAATAATTTTGATGGCGTTTTCTGTGCTGGGGTTTTGTTTATTACTGATTGCATTTGTTGGTAGAATTCCTCCTCTTGATCTGTATTAGTTGTAGATGCGTAGCGTTGCATTTTATGGACATTCCATGTCACCATGTTTAATTTTGCTTTCATCTAGAGTGGAGAAGACAAATCGGCGAATTGGCTTCTCGAAGTCTTTCACCAACCGACTTTACTTTACTCTCCCCGATTCCAGTGAAGAATATGTTTGGTTTCATTATTTTTTTGTTTTTTTTTGAAGTTTATTTAACAATTGGATTGGTTTTGCTGGGTTGTGTTGCTATCCCTATGCCTCGACGTCCGTCTTTATCCGGGCTTACGAACGTCTAGTAACTAGCGAACTAGTAAAGTAGGCGCTGTTCGAGCTCCCCTAAGGTATCGAATAACTATGGACTTTAGGATCTTGGACACAATTTTAATGAGATTGATTTCCATATGTTTCTCACAAGATCTCCCAAACTAGTTATAGACTGCTGTGATCAGTGAAGTACACCAGTTTGACGGGACTACCTCTAAGTCCCACACCCTACCTAATATCTCCGTCACTTTAACTAGCAATTTCCCAAATCCATCTTTGAAAAACTTGGGTGGCAAACTGTCAAATCTTGCTGCTTACCATGCCTTAAGGTTCGATACAGCTTTCTCACTTTCAAAAAGAGTTGGAGAAGATACATCTACGACACATTCGGATTCGGGCTGGCTGGATGTTGGGCAACTAAATAGCCTTTGAGGGCCAATGTAACTTTGCTTCAAAGTGTTTCGCCCAATGCTCTAGCCGCCTGTCTCTGGATGTTATCAGCATCACATCCTTTTCAGTGATGGTTTCAGTAACCACTGTCTCCATCTTGCCAGTATCAGTATCTATAATAAGCATAAACAGTTGCCGAGTGTTACCCAACGCTGATGTCTCCTCCATCTCTATCGCTCTCGCCACCCACCACTGTTCGTGATCATCGCGAAGACTCTTGGTCAACTCACGTCTGAATTGCTTTCGCTCCTTATCGTGGTCAGAACCAGCTGGAATCAGTCTTCTCACATCAATCAGCTCGGACGATGTCGTGGGAATCCAGTGACGTTTGTTAACCTTCGGGTGTAAGCTACCAACTGTCCTCACCACTGATTCTACAGCAGACTGAATATCAGTCCAGGTTTCCTCAGAATGAGCATTGCTGTCATGTTCAGATAAATGCTTAGCTATCTCTTCCCTGAATGCGCACTTGGTGTCCGCATCTTCCAGTCGATCATCGAAAGGCGTTATAATCTCCTATTTCCTGCAACCAGTAAAACACAGACATACATGAGCCTGTACTAGAGCGTGATCGGAGTTGAAACTGGTACTCCATGAGGGGTGGTAATCCTCGACTGATCCTCTACAACGATGGCTCATAACAATATGATCTACCCGTATCCATCTTTGGTTTGGTGTTGGTGGACGCCATGTGGGACAGTATCTCTCCTTGTGCTTGAAGTTAGTGCTGGCCAGACACAAGTGGTTGTCAGAGCGACATTGTGTCAGACAACGAACTTCTGTCAATTCGTTGGCATGGGATTTCGTAGATCCCTCAAGATGCCTTTCCGATTGGCTCAGCTTCCCTACCTGAGATATGAAGACACCTGTCGTTATGATTACATCTGAACGTTTTGCTTTGTGTAGCAAAGTTGACAGCTTCTCGTAGAATTTGTCCTTCGGATCATCCGAGCCACAGTCGGTGGGTGTGTAGGTGGAGATTATGAATAGGCATCGGTCGGTCTCACGATCGTTCCTGATCCTTATAGATCCACTCAGTCGAACAGCACATGGATGGCTGTTGACTGATATCCAGTCAAGAAGCGCATGTTTTGCTCTACAGCTCAATGCTATGCCTACACCAGTGAGTCATGACAGCTAATCATTGGGTCCCCGCATACTCTTCAGGTGAATTTTGAGGCTTCACTGATGTGACCAAGTGAGACCAAGTTAATAATTACATTCATGTTTCTTCGACATAGCACACATCAGTGGTTAGGGATTCCTGTGTTTTGGCGATCGATGCTTCATGTCCGATTTGGCGTATAATTCGGACGTTGAGAGCTCGTGCATGAAATCGATGGTGGGGTCTTAAGAGACTAGGAATGGGGTTTCACTATCTTTGATCGTTGGCAATAGTTCCAGCTTGAGAGACGTAAGAGGCCTAATATTGATATCAGGAGGCGAAGGAGGAGAGATAGTTGAGGGGTATAGGTTATGTTTATTATGTCTTGTGTACCACTGGCAGATTGCGGACGGTTGACAGTTCTTACCTGCCTACATCATGGGAGCCTATTTCTTCTCTAGGAAAAAAATGTTTGTGACCGTGGAGCCCATGGGACATCCGCTCGAGGCCTGTTACACACTGCCTTCTAGAGGTTGTTTCGACGTTTGGTTGTTCTAACGCCGGCACCAGAAGACCGTAAGTCATGGTGACGTGTGTTGTTTTTGGGGCTGACTTTTTTTAACTCCCCTTTCTTTTGAGAAGGCAGCATCATCGTTGTACTGCTGGTCTTTGAAGAGAAACACCTCACTGCTTTCACACCGCATCCAGTTACCAGCAGTACGACTTTTCCTTCAGACCTACATCATAGTGCAGTAATTTACACTACAACAGTAACTGCTTTTCGTCTAACCACTATCCAACAAACCTTTCTGACATGGTAGGACCTCAAGGGAATAAGGGTTCCACCATCATAGCTCGGTAGGTGATTGTGATATGCAAGCTTGACCACCACTTCAATGTAGCAGCTATCGGTCGGGTTACTACCGCTATTTTTCCATCTAGCCTTTTTGATGAATGAAGAGTGAATAAACTCATACCGAAGTGTTCTGTTTTGAGGTATAGTGGATCTGGATCTGATAGCCTTCACATCTTATACGTTCGAATGATGGTTTGTAGCACGGTTGATTGCTTGGTTGGTTTCCTGATTGGATCATAAAAAGCCAACGTCTAGATAATTTGCCTAGTAAACTCGAAATCGGTTGCTCTGGCGTAGAGATGTCTACATGCTGTCTCTCAACAAATCTTGAATATATATCCTTTGTTCCTATATTGACTTTTTATTCTTACCTTATTCGGCGTATCTACTCTTGTTATCCATGTTTTCATTCTAATGTTTTGTCTGTACTATGATCACAATGTGAGCAGTTATGAATTCCTCTTGGTCTCTTATATTGTTTGTGTGTTAGTCGCATTGGAAACTTGGTCGATAGAATTTTTAAAAGCACCAAAGAGTATGTGACAGTTATTACTATATCTAAGCGATAATCGGTTGATGTAGACGCACTCAACTTTCCTTCAGGAGGTCAAAAGGTTTTACCCAGCTCCACTTTCTGAAGCGTGGACAACCAGGAAGTGTTGTTAGATTATATGTCAAGAAGTATCTAAAATTTTATAGCCCCTTTACTTGGACATCCAAATGGTTGCTGAATTGATTGACTCAGTGGATGATAAGTAATCAGTGTTTGACGTTCTATAACTTAACCAATCAACAGCTTAAATGAGCACTTTTTTTGTTATTTCTCTGTATACTTCGACTTGAATTATATTTATTTGAATTGTATAACCGTCCGTACAAAACCTAATTCAACAATTTGTTTTGAAAGCAGATAATAAAATTAATCCCGAATCTTTGATAAGACACTGACAACGTTTGTAGCTCAGGTGAATATTCCCTAAATTAGTGTTTTCTCATTCTTTACATATTTGAAATACTGGTGTATACTATTAACCAGTCATTTTCAATTTTCAGTTTCAATCGATTGGAAAACTTTTGAGTGTCATAAAATATACCGTAAAGCAATAAAGGCCTCAAATTCTTGTTTTGAATATCTCTGTAAGAAACGGTACACCTAGGTACGTTTATCATGTAATACAAAGTTAGTTTTTCTTTGAAGTATTTATAATGAACATTCTAACCCTATCAACCTACTCTTCATCAATTTCATGAATGTTTCCATTGTTTTTATATCCTTACTGTAGCTGTATATCTGTCATGATTTACTTTCATAAGTTAAATTCTAGCCTATTTTAATTCTTTTGAACTTCGATTTAAGTTTCTAAACATTAAGATGAAGTTTGAATTTATAAACCTGAAATGAAACTCGACACGACTAAGATTTATTGACCTGGTACATATATTGATGTAACCCAAAATTTCCTTTTGAATTCAAGCTTAATTCTACCAAACGATGATATAAGTAGCAATATACCAGGTTTGTTGAAATCAGTTCATATTATTCAATTCCCTCCAGCATAGGAAGTTCACAACTACTTCTATGTCCAAATAATTATTCACTTCAGTTGTCTCCTGTTTATCGTTTCTGTCCTATCAATTCTTCAGAAAAATCAAACCGTCACAGTTATTGTTCAATTATTTTTAGGTACTAGTAAAAATTATCTGTTAGAAATTATCGTAGCTTTCCAAAAATTTGATTTAGAACAATTCTAAAAAGAATTCATTTTCATCATCATTTTAGCGTTTTCAAGTCTGATTAAAGATTTCAAATTAGATTTGTTTATTTGATATATATTGCTCAGTGATACAGTATTACTTACTTGATGACATTTCGGGCATAAATTATTAGTCTTAATCATAATAATGTAATGCCCTTCAAACTCTACACTGCACACCTGCATTTACGCAACACAACATAAATCGAAGCAACAACCTCATTACAATGCAAAACATAATTCATTGTGGACCAGCGGAACACGCTAATTGGGATCAGTAGGACGACAGTAGTTAATCCGCCTACACTTCAGAACTCTGTATCACTTCAATGATTGACCACTTCTTTTCCAATACCCTGATTGTGATCTCCCATTGCAATCCAATCTACCCTTTTCCACTCAATACATCTTCATATTTCCACTTACTCGTTATTTTGCTTTTCTAGGTCTTCATCAGTTTCCCAGGTCAGCCAAATGTCACCACCCATAAGGAGGGGTTCCAGTTAGATGCATTGCATGAAAACGGTGTACATTTCAGACCATGCACTCCTACTAACGGAGAAGGCCCGAAAGTCCTGACTTTCTACCCTTGCTTCTATAGCTGAGATGGCATCCAGTCTCCGACCTGGGTTATGCCGCCAAGGCCAGCTACACCTCCTAGTCTTCTCTTAGCCAACACCACCGTCCGCCTCTCACGGTGGTAAGATGGTGGTACCCAGGCATTTCAGTCATTTGCCTACGTGGTTAGCAAACAATTGGCCGGGTTAATGAGTCAGCCGGGGACTCCCTCCGAGGACCTGTCCCCCAGACGGGAGGGAATGACACAAGCTTCACCGCTTCCAGTATTCAGTAGTAGTTACTGGTGTGGTCACCAAGGTATCTACTGACCAATCCAGTCTGAGAGACCGTACCTCAAGTTCTTGAGTGTTGGGTATGCGAAGGGTAGAAAAGAGAGACTTATTGGTGTTAAGTAAAAATATGAACTTACCTAGAGGCATGGTCGTCGATTTGCGAAATAGAGAAGATGGAAACCGAGGAAAACAAAAAGGGTTAATAAAAATCAGGGACTTACCTACCTTCAAGGTGGAAGCCATCATAGCACTTCAGTGAGCTTATTATGGTGAGGAGGCTGAAGTTTGAGTGGGCTATTACTGAACGCATAGCCCTTCCTGTTTTTTCGTGCAGGATGCCCTTCACACTCACGATGAAGGGATAGTGGACTTTTCTAGATGCTTGAATCCCTTCGTTACGCTCAAGATATTATAATATGGGTTTGTTTCTAAACCCTGTATTGTATTTATTTATTGATCCTGGTTAGCCATGATTGTCTCATAGTGTTGCCTTGACATCAAAGCTGTCGCGTACTTAACAGCAGCGACAGCCGGCTTGAAGAGGGTTTCAAAGTATTTGATCTTTGGTATCGTACTCTTTCTTGCTAATGTTCAGGATGAGCTAACTGACTGTTCTGTTATGCCGAGCTATTCCAAACTTATGGGTTTTGCGGCACTTCTGCAGTATATAAGTCACGTCCTCCACGTATTGCTGACTGCACTTACGAAGACACACGTGAGGAGGCCTGAGACGTCGGGAAGCCCTTTAGCTTATTTGCTAGGAGGTCAACGTTTAAGTTGGATCGCTGTGATGAATATTCTAGAGAAGATCCATTTAGGTTTGTATAGCCACCTGTAAGACACCTTGGTCATGTTGGCGTCTCTCGTCCCTTTTCCGTCTCCCTTGTTCAGTAGCTCACTTCTCAATCGTTTTCTTGCCTGTCCCATTGTATAGACCACCTGGTGGTTGATCTTCGTACTCTTAGCAAAGCTCATGATAGTGGTGTCTATGACAGGCATGTATAGCGCTACCTTGAATATCAGGCAAGTAGATATTCCAAGTTTTCGCAGACGACTTACGCGTCTAACAGAGATAACTTCATTCGACTCATAGACCACCGTTTAGGATCGTCGTATAGAAGTAGGAGTGTACACCATTTTCATGCAATGCATCTAACTGGAACCCCTCCTTATGGGTGGTGACATTTGGCTGACCTGGGAAACTGATGAAGACCTAGAAAAGCAAAATAACGAGTAAGTGGAAATATGAAGATGTATTGAGTGGAAAAGGGTAGATTGGATTGCAATGGGAGATCACAATCAGGGTATTGGAAAAGAAGTGGTCAATCATTGAAGTGATACAGAGTTCTGAAGTGTAGGCGGATTAACTACTGTCGTCCTACTGATCCCAATTAGTGTGTTCCGCTGGGCTGCTCAATCGAAAAAAAATTAGCCAGATGGCTATCCCAACAGGTATTTGGAGTTAATTGGTTGGAAGCTCTGAACCTAGGTTTCATGGTTGTCTTGACTCTACGCCTAGGTTTATCTGCTACCTTCAGGATATTGATGTTGTCTTTGAGATTTGAGCCCGCGTCATCTGGTGCCGTATTCATAGGCATTACGACTGAGCTACTTAGGCGACGTTTGGCCGACCTCCTGTAGGACTGGATTAGGTGCATTGATTGGTTACTGGTTTCTATCCAGTTACCAGTCAGTCAAGTATTCAGGCTGTTCACGTAAATGTATGACGGATTGCAGGGTAACCGAGATAAAGATTAATCAATGTCAATTATTTACTCAACGAGATATGAATAAGATGGAATGAAGAAGTAATATCAAAATATAACAGCGTAGAGATACTGCCAAATATAAAGAAATTAAAGTTGAATGGGATAAGAGGTGAAATTAGTGTTGAGAATATGAGCTTGATCACGAATGCTTTCACGTTTTCTTAGCGCTCCAAAACTTACTGACCCACCAATGTCAGACAATATAAAGTCAGAAGACAGATGAAGATAATGGAGGTTGTATTCACAGTGCAATCCAATTCGAGATTCGTAATCAGTCAAGTAGCATTGAAACATCATACAAACAAGCCCTTACAGTGTTAGTGTCAAATAAGGAAATTATCATTTTGACTATCTGAGATACTCGTGGTTTGGCAGACTAGTGTTGATACTGGGTATGATATGCAAGCAACATACAATACCAATATTAGAAAAGCCAATGTTGCAGTAGTAGCAAGAGTAACAAGAAAGAAGACTAGTATATAAAACGATAGGAATACCTACAGGATCCTTCGAAGTTATCAACATTTCAGATAGATAGTTGACGTGTGTTACTTCTCTGATATCTGGACTTTTATTGAGATAGTGACTCATAAAGCAGTGCCCCCAAAGGTTGCTAAGTAACATACAGATCATAAACACTAAACAAATGGAATTTCGATAGTTCGCGAGGATTCAAACATTACAGTTTCAGTGATCATCGAGGCTCGCTGATGCAAAACAGGAGAGTAGATATGGTTTGGTCGATACAAATACTGACAATTTAAAAACTTGACAGTCAAATAAATTCCTCTTAAATGATAACCAGATAGACACAGTGTGACATACTAAGGTTCATTTGGCATCACTTTTACGATTAACCCCGGTTACTACTAATGATGGTCGCTCTCATGCCTTAGAAACAAGAAAGGCGGTAAAATAAAAAAAAAACTTTTTGTAAGGTTAAGCTATGTACAAAATCGACAGCATATATATAATGACCTGCGTTGTTTTCCGGATTTTCTAGGAGGAAACTACTCCATTGATTCCTTTTCTTCAGTTAATTTGATATTTGCAAGGATGATTGCAAGTCACTTCGTGAAACTTTGAGTTATGTTGATTACTTGCGAAGTATTTTAGCAGTTTAGAGCTGATAGTGTGAACTATTCCTAAAGTGAGTGTTTATTTTCAGCTTGCTTTCTTCGTCTGATGTTCATGTCAGATTTGGAAAGCATGCTGTACTTCTAGCAACTCTTGCCTAGATGCCTTTCAATGTGTTTTTCTTTTTCATACTTGTTCCTTCTCAGTAATAAGGGCTCTTTGGATATGTCTACCAAAATCCCTTTGATATAAATGCCAGTACAGGATTACTGATCCACACCAGTTATGTAATGAAACACTCGGAAGTCATAAATCTAACTTATAAATCTGCATAGCTCAATATGTTGAGAGTGAGCAGATGATAGAAAAACTTAACATTTACAGAACTATAAGTTTGAAACAGAGACAGTGAAAGTCCTGAAACCAGTATCAAACTCTTTCAAGTCAGCTTCTTTTTCTTATTTTTCTGCACATTCTTTAAATTCTGAGGAATCCCTGAACATCGTCTGTGGTAATTTTAGACAAGTTCACTGAATAATTAATGGATACTGATTGAAAAGAAAAACGGACTATATATATATATATATATATATATATATATATATATATATATATATATATATATATATATATATATATATATATTCCCCTTACTTTTCTGATCTCTAAACTTTCATTTAAAAATGACAGACCCAGTGGGAAATCT